TTAGTTGGTGGTAGATTAGTTGTTTCGGGCATTGAAATTAATGGTCTGTTTAAAAACATTTTGTCTGAACCTTCTACAGAGAACATATATGGACAAAGGCACTATCATACGATTTAAATAAATAGATATTACTCCCAACAGGAATATACGAGGGATGGAGCAGTATTACTTGTCTATCAAATGCAAATAAGGACACTGAGCGTTAAAGCAAACAAACATAAAATTATGAAAATAATAAGATGAACAGTAGCTGGAAAAATAAAGAATCAGACGACTGAACGGAAGTTCCTCGAAGTCATAATGTGCAGGCTTTCAAAAAAAATATATCCTGTGAACAGGAATGACAAGAGATTAAATAATATTCTAAACGACTTAACTTTTCATTCATGGCTTACAATCGGCTGATTGGCCAGTACGAACCAATATGCTATTCTTTACTCCCAAGCGTTCTTTAGCCTTATTTTCTTCCTGAATGCTTCTAATGATTAATCTGAAACCTATTCTGGACAACCCTCATTCTCAAGAATGTCAGAGAACAATTCGAAAATGCCTCGGGGATCTGCAACACGCAGCAGAAAAAGGTCACGTCCCCTAATGATTAGACTGCACGGGCATCATTAGAAAAAGAAACTGCCTGAAAAAACAAATGAAAGAAGCCTAATTACCCAATACTGTGCAAATGTCAACTACAACAAAGGAAACAAACTATGCATAGATTAAACTAACCGAATCAAGCCCGTTGCCGAAAAACTACTTAGTCAGCAGCTTGGGCCAAAAGCACATCTTGCGTTGCAAATAAAAAATCATTTTAAAGCATTTTCTGCTATTCAGTATGAACACCAACGCAGGAAAAAAATACTCTATCTTCGGACGCTACTGTTCCAAGTGCTGCTTTCCAGGCTGCGACTCAAAGCACCTCCTTGACTAAGAACTTCATTTTGTTGGGGTGTGAATCGATCACCATGACACAGTCGTTAAAGTCATGACCGGTTTCAAGGCCATGGGCTACGAAATCAGAATAGTCTGCACCACGGAAATTAATGATCTTACTCTGTTCCGTTAGCCTAATTTCTAACAGTCGAAAAGTCTTGCTGATATAAATAGGATCACAGCCACCGCATCCAATTTGTAAACAACGTTTCTCGTAGGAAAGTCGGGGTGAGCATCAAGCTTTTTATAAATAAGCCTGCAGAAAAATACATCACGACATGCCATTTTAAATATCATCGGATATACTTGGGATGCAAGTGGTGATAAAAGAATTACAGCTAAACGGCGGATACGGTCAAACGTTGGGAAATTTAAATACAGAATCATATAAAAGTTCGGAAATTCCGTTTTTAAGAAATGTTTATGACAGATGCATCAGTTCACTTCTGCGTAATCGGCCATTAGTGCAATAAACTTAGAGCGTTGTGACGCATGCATTTTACATTCCAGTGAACACAGATTTAGGAGTGTAAGATGAAACGTTAAGGAGACGGATAGAGACTGTTCTACAGGCACAAATCCTGCAACGAGGCAAGTGCTGCGGTAGACATAAATTAATTAGCGATAAGTCTACACTCCAGTAGTAAATTTGCATGTTTTAAATTTTAAATTATATTTGAATACTGAAACTTGAAGAATATGAGTTAAAATGGATTTTTACCACAATGGATAAGTGCGCAATTTTTTGTGTCTAATCCTGCTGTGAGCAACCGGCGTCGAACAAGGCACGGCGTCAAGATGATGGGATCCACTGGACAACTGACCA